AGTTCCTGGCAAGGAAAACATATTTCTTGAAGTATTTTTACTTTTCATTTCAAATTGGGAAATTTTTCAGCAATATTATTTTTATTTAATTGGATTTATTTTTTTAAATTAAGTAAAAACAAAAAAAAAATGGACAAAATTCAAAAATTTCAAAGCACATTTTTCCCATGAAGAAATTCCCATGGCCAATATTAAACTTTATTTATATTAAATGTATTTCTATATTCGCACCAGTGGAGTGTGAGTAACAGCAAGTCACTTCGAATGACTAAAACTTTTCTTTTTATTCAAACAGCGTCTAACACTGTCATGATAGTGAAGTTGACATTCTTCCGTGAATCTTTCACCATCTGTCTAATCCTTTTCGGAACTATTAAACGTATGCCGGTATAGGAAATAAAATATAATTTCCAACACAATTACACACTCACATACATACCATATTAAAACACGACAAACTTTATTTTCTACCTAAAAAACAGACAATATTAGAAACATAAAAAAAGATTCCACAACTTTAGACTATTACATCTTATTACTACTAGTTGTAAAGAAGCAAATCGCAGTGTCGATTGGATAGAAATTAACTTCACCATGTGAAATATTTGACCAATCAGAAAAAAAACTAAACCATAGCGCGTTCTGAAATAAACATTTGTTGGCGACTTCAAACGAATCGTCTTCATCAATTGCAACAAAGACGGGTAATGAATCTTCGGTAACGATAAACATCCCGTTGTAAACCAGAGCTTATTCTGTGAACCAAATACCCAAAGACTATTTTGAATCTTTAATTTCTCCCCAATGCTTTTCAGAAGTTTGCTCGTATCGCGTAGCATGACTATTAATTTATATTTTACTTTTTTTATATATATTTTTTAGTTTCTCTCGAAACATTTTTTTCCAACTTTCTAACAATTATATTCTTTAGATACCCGGAAATTTGACATCAACAATATGAAATATTCGTGTCCTTTGTCCGTCTTTATTATAACTATTTCACCGGTATGGACTATTTTGTTTTCAGCGCTGAAATGAGGAATTTGGTCACAGGATGTCAATTGGGTGATTCCGTCTAGAAGAATGGGTGATTTAGTTTTCCAGCCTGGATTGTCTTCAGGTAGAGACAATGAATTATTTGATGATTTCTGGCCTTGATTGGGTGATCGAGACTTTAATTGCACAATTTGGCTTGAATAAGAAAATCAATTCACCCAATATAGACGTGAAATATAGATCACACAACCCAAGTGAGAATATCTCATTTAGATTTATTGATCTGTATTCCTCGCCTCGAATGGGTGAACTGATTTTTCTTATCTGGATTGGGTGTTTGTTTTTTTCTCTCGAACTGCCTATCTATATTCGTTGATTTATTTTCTAGTCTACATTGGATAATTTGGTTTTATGACTTGACATCAGGTGTTTTGATCTCCAAAGCTATGTTGGGTGATCTAGATTGGATGGAATGATTTTTCTTATCTGGATTGGGTGTTTGGTTTTTTTTCCTTGAAACGGATCTTCTAGTACACTTATCTGTATTCGGTGATTTTCTTTTATAATTTAAATTAGGTAATTTGGTTTTATGGCCTTAGATCAGGTGTTTTGATCTCCAGACCTGTGTTGGGTGATCTAAATTGGGTAGAATGATTTTTCTTATCTGGATTGGGTGTTTGGTTTTTTTCCTTGAAACGGATCTTCTAGTACACTTATCTGTATTCGGTGATTTGATTTTCTACTCTAAATTGGGTAATTTGTTTTTCTGCCCTAAGATCAGGTGATTTGATCTCCAAATATCTGTTGGGGGATCTAGGTCTGTAGCGTTCATTGGGAGATCTGATTTTCTTACCTGTATTTCCTGATCTGGGTTGGAATGGATGATCTGCTCTTCTAACCTAGATTGGGTGATTTGGTTTTCTGTCCTGAGATCGGATGATTTGAATCTGTGTTGGGTGATCAGATTATTGGGTGGTCTGATTTTCTGGGTGATTTGATCTTCTAGAATGGGTTGCTCAATTCGGTCTTTTTACTTGGAATAGCTAATTTACTGTTCTAAATTGGATGATGTAAACAGAATTGTATGTTTTTCACTGCTTACAACCCTGTCGTTTGCACTGTTGGCAGTGGATCAGCTTTTCATCTTTGCGACCTAAAAATGCTAAGCTTAGCTTTGGCACAAATATAGGAAACTCAATGTGAATCGAACTCAATCCCTCATAATAAACTAACCATTGGTCCTATGCCGAATTGTACGACAGTAAATTGATTCGTCCGTTGTCAAATCCCGATTCAATCAATTAAACGCCAAAAAAGAGTTTTCAAGAAATGGTCACTATTAATTAACTTATTTATAAACTTCGGCCGAAATTTGAATTTAATTGATGCTATTTATTTATCTTCGTGGTAATAATCAGGAAGTTCTTTACGAAAACTCCTGTACCTTTAATAATAAATATTGAACAATCTGCCACCCACCAACATGGTTGATGACATGAAGAGGAAATGACTATATTGAAACAATTGGCAAGTCTGCTGCTACGAGATTTGATTCCTTATATCTTGCTAGACATTTTTTTCTCACCAGAATCTGTCTTACACCTTTATATGTCTACCATTTGCCTATGAAATGATTATTACCGCCACATCTGGTCTGGTGCTCCTGCTATATGTTAGAGATTCTTGATAAAATCCAAAGAATAATCTGCAATGTTATTAAACTTCATCTGGTTTCTTGGCTTCAGTCACTCTCCCGCCGCCATAATGAAGTTCCAGACAAAACACGCCTTTAATTAGTCTACAGTTTATGCTCTCTAAAAAATAATGCCTCTTATTTATTTCCAGACAAGCGACAACAGATACAGGGAAAAAAATAACACAGTTGAATAGAGAAAATTTTATGCCTTTTTTTAATTGTTTTTAATTTGTTTTTACGGATTATCAACCTTTTGTAGGTTATTTAAAGCCAGAAAATATTTTAGATAGTAAGAATTTGGAAGGATAATAAGGATTGACAAGTCTTTCTGTCAAGTGTTGGATAATGCAGTGAAAAAGTGGACACTCTTAGTAGGCATAGGTTTAATATTAGCGCGGGATGGCGAAAATGACTAAAAGGTCTAGGCTCACGGCCATATCATGTTGAAACACCGGTTCCCCTACGATCACCCTAAGTTAAGCAACGTCGAGCCTGATAACTACCTAGATGGGTGACCGCTAGGGAAAACCAGGTACTGTAAGCTTGGATGTGTGGCTTGCGTAATGGAAAGCGGCTAGGGCATGGAAATCGGAGAGCTGTGTTTCAATTCTAAGTTGGGTGTGTTATATTCACTTATGCGCAAATACTCAATGAATCAACAACTCCCCCCACCAAGGTGTTAGTAAGACATATCAGTAAATCATTATTATTTTTCCAAGAAGCTATAACAATTCAAAGATAACTCAGAAAAGGAATCCGTGGAGAGCCATGATCGCCTAAAATCTGAAGGAGAGTAACATAAAAAATACGAAAATATATTCGTTGATCCGAAAGTATTGCATTCTATTTTATTATATTGGCCAACGAAGTCAGGGGTGAAGGATCGGATAACAGAAACTGAAACCTTCCAACCAATAACCGATAATTGTTTTGAGCCTCTGAACGGCAGACTGGCAAAATGAAATCTGATACGAAAGTTCGTATGAAGCAGAAGCATATTGTTGAATTCTTCTATGCAAAGAAATTGTAAGCACTGTAATTCCTAAACGCATTCTGAACGTTTATGGAGACCAAACAGCTTCTTGGGAAAATAAGGGATTGGTTTGCCGTTCCTTTCTCTACGATTTTGAATGCAGAGTCTTCATTCTTTTAGACTGGTTTGCCAATTAACTATTTAACCCATAACTTAAGGGGAAAGATGTAGATTGATGTCTTTCCCAAAATGACCTATGCGAAAGTGGACACCATATCTAACCTATGCTAAGAAAATCAATTTTAGGCGCTTCGACATGGTGTAATGGTTAGGAAGCTTGTCGAGTTCGATCAATTACGGCGGAATAATGAGGTCGATCCTCATTGGGTACCCCATACATTCGGCGTTGTGCCACATCTAACCTATGCTAAAAAAAACAATTTTAGGTGCTTCGACCTGGTGTAATGTATTAAGAAGCTTGTTGCGTTCGATCAATTACGGCGGAATAATGAGGTCGATCCTCATTGGGTACCCCATACGTTCGGTCTTGTTCCACATCTAAGCTACGCTTGGAAAATCGCCATATATTGTCTGTTTTAATATCTTAATGTCACACCGCTAGCAATAATAGCATTTGCTGTCTATCAATAAGATAGCCGAAGGTAAGATTTTTTTTTTCGGTTTTGTTCACATTAAAATGCTCCTTCCGAGGGGCATCATCAGAGTACATATCCTTTGCACTTGGTTGGCCTATGAGCTTCAATTTACTGCCATTTCATAACTATATCATTTCTTTTGATATTAATTCCGTTGTCGTAGATCTGTATCTTAAAGAACTGAATTAAAATCTTTCAAAAATTAAAATTAAAGATCTGATTTAAAATAGTTGAATTTAATCTGAATTAATTAATTAGAAAGTTATTCATTTTTTTTATTATTATTTTTGTCTTTGCTTCCATAGAATATTTTCTTTGGAAGAAATCAGTTTGTAGATCAGGGTTTGGGTTTTTTTGTTTTGATCGTTTATCAACCTCAATGGGTTATTTTGTTTAAAAATTGAAAAGATTTTTAGGATATTTTCTTCTGAATAGAATATGTATTCTTTGGAAGAAATCAGTTTGTAGATTTCAGGGTTTGGGTTTATTTTTTTTTTTTACGGCATATCAAAAATGGGTTTATTTAATGCCGGGAAGATTTTTAGGATACCTTCTGAATAGAATATGTATTCTTTGGAAGAAAAACAGTTTGTAGATCAGGGTTTGGGTTTATTTTGTTTTACGGCATATCAACCTCAATGGGTTATTTAATGCCGAAAATTTTATTTTTCTGGATAATATGTATCTTAAGAATAAATATGTTTTCTTTTGTTTACGAAACCTCAAATCAGTTTGTATAGATTTTCAATAGGGTTTTTGGAAGAAATCAGTTTGTAGATCAGGGTTTGGGTTTATTTTGTTTACGGCATATCAACCTCAATGGGTTATTTAATGCCGACAAGATTTTTAGGATAGGTTCTTATGAATAGAATATGTATTCTTTGGAAGAAATCAGTTTGTAGATCAGGTTTTGGGTTTATTGACATATTTTGTAATTTTTTGTTTAATGGGTTTATTTTGTTTTAAGGCATATCAACATTCTCAATGGGTTATTTAATGCCGGGTTTGGATTTTTTTTAGGATATATTCAACTGAATAGAATATATTTAATGTTTGTAAGAAATCAGTTTGTAGATCAGGTTTCATTTTGGAAGATTTTGTTTGTAGATCAGGGTTTTATTTTGTTTTTTTATCAACCTTTTTGGGTAATCAACCTCAATGGGTTATTTAATGAATATGTAAAAAGATTTTTTCAGGATATGGTTTATTTGGGTTTTTTTTATAATATCAACCTCAATGGGTTTTTAATGAAATCAGTTTTTTAGATAGGTTTCATTGAATAGAATATTTTCTTTTTTTTTTTGTTCAGGGTTTGGGTTTATTTTTGTTTTACGGCATATCAACCTCAATGGGTTATTTAATGCCGAAAAGATTTTTAGGATAGGTTCGTATGAATAGAATATGTATTCTTTGTAAGAAATCAGTTTGTAGATCAGGTTTTTGACGTTTATTTTTTATTTTTGGGTTATTTTGTTTTTTTAGGCATATCAACATCTCAATGGGTTATTTAATGCCAAAAAAGATTTTAGATCAGGATTTGGTTTATTTGAATATCAATATGTATTCTTTGTAAGAAATCAGTTTGTAGATCAGGTTTCATTGACGTATTTTTTTTTTGGTTTATCAGTTTTTTTTATTTTACGGCATATCAACCTCAATGGGTTATTTAATGCCGAAAAGATTTTTAGGATAGGTTTCTTATGAATAGAATATGTATTCTTTGTAAGAAATCAGTTTGTAGATCAGGTTTGGGTAATATTTTGTTTGGGTTTATTTTGTTTTACGGCATATCAACCTCAATGGGTTATTTAATGCCGAAAGATTTTTAGGATATGTTCTTATGAATAGAATATGTATTCTTTGTAAGAAATCAGTTTGTAGATCAGGGTTTGGTTTGACATATTTTGTTTTACGGTTATCAACCTCAATGGGTTATTTAATGCCGAACAAGATTTTTAGGATATGTTTTCTTCTGAATATAGAATATGTATTCTTTGGAAGAAATCAGTTTGTAGATCAGGGTTTTTTTATTTTGTTTTACGGCATATCAACCTCAATGGGTTATTTAATGCCGACAAGATTTTTAGGATAGGTTCTTCTGAATAGAATATGTATTCTTTGGAAGAAATCAGTTTGTAATCAGGTTTGTAGAATTTTGGGTTTATTTTGTTTTACGGCATATCAACCTCAATGGGTTATTTAATGCCGAAAGATTTTTAGGATATGTTCTTATGAATAGAATATGTATTCTTTGTAAGAAATCAGTTTGTAGATCAGGTTTCATTTTATTTTGTTTTGTTTTTTTTTAATGTCTGCAAGATTTTATTTTGTTTTCGGCATATCAACATTCTCAATGGGTTATTTAATGCCAAAAAAATTTTTTTTAGGATATCAACCTCAATGAATAGAATATATTTTTTGTTCTGAAGAAATCAGTTTGTAGATCAGGTTTCATTGAGGGTTTTTGTTTATTTTTTTTTTTAGCATTCAACCTTGGGTTATTTAATGTCAAGATTTCAATGGGTTATTTAAATGCCTTTGGAAGAAAATTTTTTCAGGATAGGTTTGGTTTATGAATAGAATATGTATTCTTTGTAAGAAATTTTTTGTAATCAGGTTTCATTGACATTTTGTATTTTTTAATGCCGTTTTGGTTTATTTTTTTTTTTACGGCATATCAACCCTCAATGGGTTATTTAATGCCGAAAAGATTTTTTAGATATGTTCTTCTGAATAGAATATGTATTCTTTGGAAGAAGGTCAGTTTGAAATCAGTTTGTTTATTTTGATTTACGGTTTCATTTATTTAATGCCGTTTTAGGATATGTTCTTCTGAATAGAATATATTTTTTGAGTTTTGTAGATTTTTGGTTTATTTTGTTTTACGGCATATCAACCTCAATGGGTTATTTAATGCCGAAAAGATTTTTTCAGGATATGTTCGTCTGAATAGAATATGTATTCTTTGAAGAAATCAGTTTGTAGATCAGGGTTTTGTCTAGGTTTATTTTTATTTTACGGCATATCAACCTCAATGGGTTATTTAATGCCGAAAAGATTTTTAGGATATGTTCTTCTGAATAGAATATGTATTCTTTTCTTTGAAGAAATCAGTTTGTAGATCAGGTTTTTGGGTTTATTTTTTGTTTTAATATCAACCTCAATGGGTTATTTAATGCCGAAAAGATTTTTTAGATATTTCTTATGAATAGAATATGTATTCTTTGTAAGAAATCAGTTTGTAGATCAGGGTTTGGTTTATTTTGTTTTACGGCATATCAACCCTCAATGGGTTATTTAATGCGAAGACAAGATTTTTAGGATATGTTCTTCTGAATAGAATATGTATTCTTTGTAAGAAATCAGTTTGTAGATCAGGGTTTGGGTTTATTTTGTTTTAATGCATATTTTTTCTAATGGGTTATTTTGGTTTATTTTTAGTTTTCTTCTGAATAGAATATCAACAAATCAATTTGTTTTTAATTTGGGATTATTTTTTTTTAGGATATTCAACCTGAATAGAATATGTATTCTTTGTAAGAAATTTAGTTTGTAGATCATGTTTCATTGACGAAATTGTTTGTAGATTTTTGGTTTTAGTTTAGTTTGTTTTGGTTTATTTTGTTTTACGGTATATCAACACCTCAATGGGTTATTTAATGCCAAAAGATTTTGAGGATAGGTTCGTATGAATATAATATGTATTCTTTGTAAGAAATCAGTTTGTAGATCAGGTTTGAAGTTTTTTTATTTTTTTTTTATTATTTTGTTTAATGGTTTATTTCAATGGGTTATTTAATCAATTTTTAGGATTTCTTCTAATAGAATATGTATTCTTTGGAAGAAATCAGTTTGTAGATCAGGGTTTTGGTTTTTATTTTGAATACGGCATATCAATTGGGTTTTAATGCCG